CTAAGAGAGAAGATGACTGTCCAGTCGTAATGGTAGTTCTGTAATATTCTTGAGAGAAGATCTTGGAGATATTGATTCAGGACAAGAACGTAAAGTTTCTGAAAGTAACCAAAGACGAAAAGGTGAACCAATTAATGGCGGGATTTCCCCCTTGCTTTTTACATAATTGAGATTGGAACAACTTTAGTAATCAGTGAAACATATAAGTATGTCCCTCGTTAGGTATGTACTGTTTCGAGAAAGGTCCGTAAGTGCGTTCACACACACACACACACACACACACACACACACACACACACACATATATATATATATATATGTTTGTATTTTATTGCATTGTAGGGAATTACGTATGTGCGTATCAATGTCGTCCTGTAGACTAAGTTCAGAGATGTTCATGAATATATGATTGCTTTTTAGGGAATAACTTTGATAAGTAATCATTGTTACCGCGTACATATACATTGCACGGGCGACGGGTTGGCAGGATGAAGGCTTTTTGCCAGTAGGTTCAAAAATGTATGTAATACGCAGTTATTAAAGTAGCAAGTAAAAATAAGTGATGGCATCAGAGTTTAAGGCTTGATGCTTATATATGTAGATGTATAAAGTATATAGATATTGTTCGAAGTAAGTTTTGGGAGTAAAGAAATCTTCAAAACTTATGTAATCTTTCAAGGTACCGTGTTCTGTTCAAAACTAACGGGTATGTCAGTCCCTTGGTAAACTCGTGCCTATCTATCTATCGATCATTTATTGCAATTATTTATATTTATCTATCTGACTTGCTTATCAAAGTCTTTTCGAATTCCTGTCGAATCCATTACATTCACTTACGTGGTAATACCCTTGGGAAACATATGAATCCTCTTCTTCTCCCCCCCCCTAGCTAGAGGTAAATAGCAAGGCAAACCGGGTTCTATAGCCTTGGATGGCAACTGGTCTACTGTAGAAAGAAATGGCTACCTACTGCTGGAAAAAAGTCTGCTTCGTCAGTCATGAATCGAAAGATACATGATCGCCTAAGCGTGGTGTATCATGCATGGCACATAACTATTTGTATAGCTTTCTCTTCACCCTCTCACTCCATATATATATATATATATATATATATATATATATATATTTATCAGGTCATCCCATAAGTTCTGTCCGAATTTTAACTTTTTGTTAAAATGAACGAAATTTAAAGAGTATTTTATAATGTCTAATGGAGCTGAACATTATTTTTATGTTTAGATGCATTTAAACTCATCAAATTTTATTTCAGAGAACAATAAAATTATATTTTGTTTGATTAAAACCCTGCTAATATGGAAGTACCCAAGAATCATTTGAGGCACATAATGTTTTATGAGTTCAAGAAAGGAAACTCAGCAGCCGAAGCGGCTAGAAACATTCACTCAGTTTATGGAGAGGAATGTGTGAATGAAAGAACTTGCAGAAGGTGGTTTGCAAAATTCAGAGGTTGAGATTTCACCCTTGAAGATGAAGATCGAACCGGACGTCCAGTTGAGTTTGATGAAAAGCTTCTTGAAGCAGCCCTTGAAGAAAATTCAACTTTATCAGTTGAGGCAGTGGTTCTCAGTTCAAACCATACAACTGTTCATCGTCATCTTCAACAACTTGGAAAAGTTCCTAAACTTGGAAAATGGGTGCCTCATGAGTTGTCTGAAAACAATCTCAAATCCCGAATTGACATCTGCTCTTCTCTCCATTCTCGCCAACTTGTTTCACCTTTTTTGGATAGATTTGTGACTGGCGACGAAAAATGGATCTTTTATTGAAATGTTAAGCGTCGTAATCATTAATCATTTAGAAGAAACAGCTTTTGTAACACAGGAAGAGGTTAAAACTGACATTTGTGAGTTCTTCGAATCAAAGCCAAAAGAATTTTAGAGTAATGGAATTAGTAAGCTTGTTAATAGATGGAAGGAAGTCATAGATAATCAGGGAAAATACATTGTTGATTGAATCTGTAATTGAATGTAACATTTGGTCACTTGTTTTCTTTATTCAAAATTCGGGCAGAACTTATGAAATGACCTGATATATATATATGCACGAAATAAATCGAAAAAATATAAGCATTAAATTGCTGATACCCTCTGAAGAGTGGACGTATAGGTCCTTCTACGAAACTCTGGAGACGGGATGTCAATCAGCTAAATGACATTATTTTACTCACATTAATCCTATATATATATATATATATATATATATATATATATATATATATATATATAATTTATTCGAAAATTATAACATAAATATGTTATAAAATCACTATAAAAATAGTCATTTTGTTTTAAAAGGTTCAAATCAATCAAACGTTCCTCGATAGAGGAAACGCTGTTATATAAGCTGCAATATAAAATTAAAAATTACCAATTTTAAATTTTAAATTTAATCTGTATTAATGTTACAATATTATAAAATTATTTAAAGAAACTGAGGAAAAATACATATATTTTATTATTTATTTATCATACTTGATCGCTTATATATTCAAACTTGAATCTTTCTAGGTGTGTATATGTGTATGTCTTTTTAAATATATTTATGTATAATCGCTATATATATATATATATATATATATATGCCTTTCAGTGTATATATGTGTTGTCTGCTTTTTTATTTTGTCTGTTTTTTCTTGGGGAGGGTCGTAGACATCTATTTTTTGTTTTTGCATGTTTATATATCTAAATATGTCTACGTGTTTGTGTATTATAATCTGATTGTGTATGTATGGTCTTTTGCAAGATTTCATCATCCCCTGCCCATAACACCACTTAAAATGTATCTCAGTTGTAACGAAGTTTCACATCTTCATTAGATTAACTTTAATTCTGAGATTTTGGCCATTCAATTAAAACAAAAGAAATAATATTTATTATTTATTTATAATTTTCGAATAAATTATATTTGCTCTACTCTGTATTGAGCCCTCTTTTAAGAATAGTATTTTTTTGGTTATTGGAATTTATTCCGTATACACCAATCCTACACTTACATATATATACATATACATATGTATATATAGAGAGAGAGATAGAGAAAGAGAGAGAGAGTAGCGACAGTTTGTTTCATGCTTGAACGCAATCTTCAGGCCATCAGATTGCGTTCAGACTGACATCATTCAATGTTGACCTCATTTTCCACTTTTATATTTATATATACATACGCTCTATTCCTGTTAAAAGTATAAGTATATATATATATATATATATATATATATATATATATATATATATCGGGTGTAACAGCACATTTTTTGTGTCAACATCACTTTCTTGTCAGCTGAGCAATGGTGAGAGGAGAAAAAAACCATTCAGCCCTTCAGTAATGGTACCAACATTCATATTCTGGGTTCCATCTTCAAAGTCCATTCAAGAACCATCAAGAGAACTGTGAATGTGTTTAAAAAGAGGGAATAGTAGAGAAAAACTGGATCAGGAGGTCACAACATCAAGAGGGATCATCATTTCAATTTAGAGCTAAAGAGATTAATTAGAAAAGATCCAACTCAGTCCATAAGACGTTTGACTCTTGATAGATGACTTTCACATATGACAGTCCAAAGAGCAATGAAAAAACACTCAAAAATGACATCGGATGGGAAATGTGTGAGACATCTTGTTACTCCAGGAAAGAATCTCAGAAGGTTAAAGAGGGTGAAGATCATCTTTAATGAATTGGAAAATAATTCTGAAATAACACACACACACACACACACACACACACACACACACACACACACACACATATATATATATATATATACATATATATATATATATATATATATATATATAAACTTTGTTTTAATCCTTCAGGAGCTTCTGATCCTTAGCTATGATTAATTAATGATGAACATGTCCTTTTCGTTTATGATCGATATCATCACAATTCTTCTGTTAAGCTTGGAGAGTAATTACACATTCTTATTGTTCAAAGTAGAGTCCGAAAGCGCTCGGAAATTTTGGACAGTTTTTACACATTTTGTGCCCAGAAAGAAAACACTTCTACGAACTCAAGAAAAATTAAATAAAAAGCTTAATCACAGTCGACTTTAACACGAAACTTGCTTCCCAAATACACTGTATATATATATATATACATACACTAGCAGCATGGCCCGGCGTTGCCCGTGCTTGATTCAAAAATCGTACGACTCATACAGCAATCGTTATCACTTATTTTTGCCCTTCTTTGCCTTTCTTTGCCTTTAAAGGAGTGCTCTTTTCCGTGCTGATGTTGCTACATGCCTTACTTCTTGCCTCACACTGCGAATTTTTTCTAAGCTCTATACTAAACATTAAATCTGTTTCGAAAAAAGAACTAAACAAAATGAACACAAAACGATCAGCTTTAAAAAAGGACTCATAACTCATAACTGGAAAAACCGAATGAAAAAAGAATGTTAACAACAAATACTTTTTCACACCCAACCCAGTTCTGCGGAATCAGAATCAACGTTGAGTTTAAGCAAGCGAATGAGCCAATTAGAGTAAAGTGCCATGCAGATTTAAATTTTTCCCACTTGTGACGAATGCAGCTATCGATTTTTTTTTTTGCATGCTAGCATGCTAGTTAATATTCGTGTCAGTCAGCTGTTGGCCTCACGCTGGCCAATAGAATCTTCCTGCCTATTCGTGGCAGCCAGCTTTAGGTTCACTGTGGCCAGTACAAAATGGCCGCAAACTACATGAAAACTGCCGTAGAAGCATGAAAAAAATCGATTATTTCCACTATCGATGGAGTTGGGAAATGCAAAGTCGGTCTTGGCCTTCCCACTAACTAGCATGTGCATGTAAATTTTGGTGCAAACTGTCGAAAAATGCGGCCGTGCATTCGTTACACATACACACACATCCTGCCTTTTATATATATATATATATATATATATATATATATATATATATATATATATTATATATATATCTTGTGTGTGTGTGTGTGTGTGTGTGTGTGTGTGTGTACATAATATAATAATAGCT